ATTTTGTGTCATTCGCAAAGTTTGCCACCTCACTGTTTACCCTTTTTTACAGATCATTTATGAATGTGTTGAACAGCACTGAACCCAGTACAGATTCCTGGAGGACACCGCTATTTATTGCACTCCATTCTGAAAACTGACCATTTATTCCTACCTTTTATTTCCTGTTTTACAACCCATTACTGATCAATGAGAGGTCCTTCCCTCTTACCCAAGACTGCCTACTTTTCTTGAGATGCTTTGGTGAGGGACTTTTGCAAAGGCTTTCTGAAAGTCCAAGTAAACTATATGCACTGGATCGCCCTGTCCACATATTTGTTGACCCCCTCAAAAAATTCTAATAGATTGGGAAGGCGTGATTTCCTTTACAAATGCTGTGTTGACTCTTCCCCAAAAAATCAAGTTCATCTATGTGTCTGATAATTCTGTTTTTTACTATAGTTTCCACCATTTTGTCTGGTACTGAAATTAGGTTTACTGACCTTTAATTGCCAGCATTGCCTCTTTAAAAATAAGCATTACATTAGCTATCCTCCAGTCATTACTCCTGGGGAATTCTGTGCAGCATTAGAGGAAATCCCCAAACCTCATTTGTCTAATAGTAATGTAGGTAAGTTTGACCCTTTATTTCTAGTTATTAGTCAACAAATATGTAAGCAGAGTCAGGATGAGCTCTACCCTGACATCTGGTGGTGAATTATGGCGAGTGTGGAAAAGAACTCCAGGGGCGGATCTCGTTTGCATAGGCACACCCACACGCCTAGCATGAGCCCACAGCAACCAAAAGTGGTTACTTTGGCTGGTGTGGGATCCCCAGTTTCTCTGTTATTGGGGCAGGAAGAATAAAGTTTTGTTACCCTGATTCTGTGAATCAAGGCCAGTGGAACTGTTGTATGACAGAAGGACTGAGTGAATCCGTCACCATTACCTAAGTAGCATTTGCTTGTCAAGGGGCATGGGTTACAAAACCCAGTGAATTGAGAGAGGTTGGGGGCAGGTATTGGTACCTGGTGGTGTGGGGCCCCTGCGTGAGCCTGAAACACCAATTGCACCTCCTCCTCTCTCCACTGTTGAATGTCAGAGCTAACTTTGATTCCCTTAGGAGTCTAGTTACAGGCTGCTGAGCTGAGTTCACTTTGGGCCACTAGTGCACCAGCACTGGGGCTCCCCTACTATGAGCTGAAATCACTATGAGCTGAAATCACAAAAGAGCTAAAGTTACTAAGAGCTGAGATCACTGAGGCTGTGTTAACTAGTGGGGGAGCCTGAATTGCTAAGCGGCTGGCGGAGCAGTTTGCGGGGACGGCTGGAGGAGCAGCTAGCCGAGTGGAGCCTCGCGGGGATGGTTGGAGCAGAGCAGAGCAGAGCAGAGCGGAGCTGAGCGGCTCACAGGTCGGTGAGCGGAGCGGAGCAGAGCAGCTGGAGGAGCAGCTGGCAGAGCGGAGCCTTGCGGGGACGGTCGGAGCGGAGTGGAGCCGGGCGGCTCACAGGTCGGTGAGCGGAGCAGAGCAGAGCAGTTCGTGGGACGGCAGGAGCGGCTCACGGGACAGCAGGTGGAGTGGAGCGGCTCGTGGTGAAGGCTGCGGCGGAACCCCACGGAGAGGCGGCCGGTTGGTCTCGAATCACGTAAGGTGCCCCTTAACACCCTGCGCCCCTCCCCCCTGAACTCTGGGGCTGCACTGACCAGGGACAGAGACTTTGGGGGGTTGTTGGACTTTTGGGACTTTGGTGATTCTTGGGTTGCTGGACCCGAGAGACTTTGGGGTTGTTGGACTTTTGGGACTTTGGTTGCGGGTTTCAAGAACCAACGGGAAAGGACACGGCCCAATTTGCTGGGGTGGGTCTTCGCTCAGGGTTTGGTCTATGAACTCTAGTTGTGGTGTTTTCCCAATTTAATGCTATGTCGTTTACCTCTTGTTATTAAACATTTTTCTGCTACACCGAGGCTCTGTGCTTGCGAGAGGGGAAGTATTGCCTCTTCGAGGCGCCCAGGGGTGTGTGTAAGATTTTCCCAGGTCACTGGGTGGGGGCTCGAGCTGGTTCTGTGTCACGCTGTTGGGAAGGGACCCCTATGTACTGAACCCGGCCCTTGCTGCTATCACTTGGCCTGGCAGAAGGGTTACAAATATATGCAGCCATATGCTCCGTGTTACATCATAGGCAACTGAAGAGCAAGTGAGGGCTGATGAATCAAACTCACAATTTATATTGGCTACTTACCATCTCCAGAAAGCTCAGTAGCAAACAGTTCATGGAGCATATTTTCATAGGAAATGTTTTCAGTCCAAACATTTAGACCAGTTCTAATCACTAAAGCACCATAAGCATTTATAAGCCATACTGTCCTTACAATAAGACTCCTTTACCCCACTCTGGCAATGTAAAGGAGCCTTAAAATTTTTACATCTGTTTTATACTCTTGGGTAATTCACAAAGAGAATGGGAACAATTCACTAAGCAGGCAGGCTGCTACATTCTGCTCTGTCTGAGGGGACAGAGCCTTCCCCACGCCTACCTGCTCAGAAACACCCCAAAGCCCTGCCCCTCCATGCCAAGCATGTCGCAATAGCATGCGAGAGGGACAGAATGTCTTTCTCTCTCAGACGCATGACTGCCCAGCACCTCACCTCCCCCCTGGCAGTGATTTACATCTTTACTGGCTGCTCCAGGCACCCAAACTGACCTGCCTGAGCTGCTGGGGAGGGCATGTGACCAGTCTTGAGGCTTCCCTTTGCTTCTCCATCAGAAGTCATTTTTCTGCGGGGAAGCAAAGAAATCTGCAGGGGACATGAATTCTGTGCATGCACAGTGACACAGAATTCCCCCAGGAGTAAGTCATTTGGCACAGAGGCTGATTTAAGCAATAGGTTACATACCACAGTTAGTAGTTCTGCAATTTCATATTTGAGTTCCTTCAGAACTCTTGGGTGAATACCATCTGGTCCTGGGGACTTATTACTGTTTAATTTGTCAATTTGTTCCCAAACTTCCTCTATTAACACCTCAGTCTGGGGCAGTTCCTCAGAATTTCACCTAAAAAGAATGTATCAGGTGTGGAAACCTTCTTCATATTCTCAGCAGTGAAGACTAATGCAAAGGATTCATTTAGCTTCTCCGCAATGGCCTTATCTTCCTTGAGTGCTCCTTTAACACCTCAATTGTCTTTCTCTTATTAGTTTAGAGAGAGACTTTTAAAACATAAATATACTTTTTTGCAATTTGATGCATTAAATTAGATTTACTGTGTATGAATTCAGTCTGGTAAACATGGGCCAGAACCTCTTCCTAGATCTGGGCCCAAGAAAATGTCTGTAGGTGTTGAGGGGGCAGAATTTTCCTCTGCCCCCAGTGTGGAGTTTGACTAGCAGATATACATAGTTGCGTACGCATCGGATTCTGCTCCTCATCATACCACTGGATCTTTTGTTAGCTGGGGTAAAGGACACGTCATGAAGCACAGCCCTGTGGCTCACCATATTGAGGACCCTTTTCTGGGCTTCATGAATTTTACCACCACACACAGTGCATTAGAACTTCACTGTTTCTGTTGTGTTCGAGAGGGAGGGAAAACATTTCCCCCTTTATGATGAGGTCCAGCGTGTGTTTCTCTGCACATAAGTGGGTCCATCCAAGTCCTGATCATTTTACTTCCGTAGTATCATGGAGGTGAGTGAGAGCAGGATTTGGTTTGCTGCAAACATTTGAGTTCTTGACCTTACCTTGCATGAATTGCTGGAGGGAATCAAAATCTCAGCTTGGATTCTCTAGTATTTGCCAAAAGCAAATTTCAAATTGCATATTCGGTTATAGAATTCTCAGCTTTGTAATTCACACTCTGTGGTTACCTACTGCCAGTTGGGAGAGAAAAGCAATACTATGTGATTTCTGGAAGCCAGCAATATAGCACAAATTGCTAACATTCACGATGTGTGAATTATCTGCAACCCAAGAGTTATTAGCAGAAATGCAATTAGTGAATTCACTTGAATTACAAGAAAATCACAGTCTGTTTATGTACATTTCACAGACACACACACATATAAATGACAAAATTTGATGAATTGAAAAAATTATTAATTCCAGATTCTTTGCTCTGCTCTAGTGGGTCATAATAGCAGTGGAAGAAAGTTGGGGATTATCAGCATCTATAGGGGCACAAGTTGCCTTGCCCTTTAAATATTCAGGGTTCGGTCCTCAGCTGGTGTAAAATATCTATCGATCAATAGACTTTTAGTAATACAATGGATACATTTAAAGATACATTTTCATGTGTTTGTTCCTCTTTCCACACTTACAGCCATCCCAATGAAGAACAATGGGAGTTACTGTACTTGCATATATGAAAAGAAAGGCCCTAATTATGTAGGATACCATACACAGACAGGGATGAGAGAGGCTGGCTGGTTCTCTTGTTGGTAGATAACCAAGGGAATTGTTGCCCCCATAACTTTAAAATTTTCATTTTCTTAATTTAAAAATGCTGGGTTGTGTATAACTGCTGGAGGGCAGTCCCAGGCAGCTGTTGGGTACCCCAGGAGTTCAGGTCATTCTCATCACATAAGAACCTCATATGAATGAACAATGAAAACCAATGCCAGTCCTTTCGGGGTTTGCAAACCCAAGGGCAGAATATTTGATTTTCTTAAAGATGGAGGCAAATTTGGGTCTAAACTAAGGGATGATCTCGGTGCTGAGAAATAACACAGAGTCAGTAGAAAGGCATGTGCAGCAGTGTAGAGCTGCTGTGTGTATTCATGGACACTGTCAACAACAAAATCTCTTGGACTGAGAGGACTCTGAATCTAAATAAGTTGGCAGCATCCAGGGAAATTTTAGTCATTTAGAAACTGCTGAAAATTCCCCTGGCTTTCCTCCAGCACTTGTGGTTAGGTTATGTATTAAACATTTGCTGCTGTAATGCTGCAGGGGAACATTTACATAATAGAGCTGGTAGCTTATATATACTACTGGACTAAACTGTGATACGAAGTTGGCTGAGTGGTCTGGAAGTCAGTTAAAGCAGGAAGTAGCACTGATACTGAATCTGGGGACAGACGTCGTCTCACGGAAAGGAATTCTTAAGGCTGAAACTGTAAAATCACATTGAGTTACCGTGGTGCCAACATTTTCCAGTTAGCCTTCCCAACCTGATAGCAAACACTTGGCTCTTGCTGGGAGTATGAGGAAAATGAAGCGTGCCTGCTGCCGATTCACTGGAAGGAGAAAGCTGCAGGGAGCATCTTCTGGTGAAAATACATCAATGCTTCCCAAAGAGGCTCAAAAGGAGCAGAAATCAAATGGGATAGCGAGAGTGAAAAATATGGCAGACAAATTGCTGAAGAATTTGTCCTCTGTGAAGGAGAAAACTGAAGAGAAGCCTGTGGACAAAGAGTCTGGTGGGAGGCAGTATCTCTCAGGTACTCTCTGCTAGTCTGTCCTCCCCACTGGCCTCCTCTGTTTCTTCTCACCATGGAGACTGTTTTCATCAGCTCCTGCCATTTGGAATAGGCTTCCTATCTCTCTCCTCCTCCTGGATTCACCTCCCGTTTCAAATCCTTTCTGAAATGTATATTTCTCCTGGCCTATGTTTTTAAATTTTACTCCCCTTTCTGTTGCTCATTTGTATTTCACTTTGCAACTATATTATCCATCTCTGCAAAGCGCCTTGGGTTAGTTTGTAAGAAATATGTGATACAAAGCAGAGTTTGGTTGTAAGAGTGTTCATATGGTGGTCTGTTCTTCCAGTAATGTGCAGGGGAGCATGCGTAGGTAACCTATGCCAACATAGCTCCCTCTCCACGCTACATCTATTGGCAGGTGCTGGGCCCTTAAATGTCGATACCAAAGAAATCTGCCACAGGCAATTGATATTTAGTGATTGTTGCAAGAACCAGAGAGTTAAAAGCACACTTTTTAACTAGATGCAATAAAGCGTTTTGTAGGAAGCTGGATTCTGGGAAATATTTTCCCATGTGAATCCCCTCCTGCAATGCCCTCCTAGATCCCGACTCTAATGACAAACCGTAAAGTTTATAGACACAGTTACAGGACGAGCTGGGCTTTAGACTCCTTTTAAGGTGTGTCTACAATGCCCTCAAGCTCAGGTTTGTGGGACCTGTGCTTGGGGACTCGGTGTTTCCAAACCCGTGCTTGCACAGCCACAAACTGCATTGTAAACCTGGGTTTCACAGCCTTGCTACCACGTCCACACTGCACTATGCAGACCTTTTGTCACAGGTCTGCAGCTTAACCTGCGTCCATGCTGCAAAATGACAGGGCTTGGATCTGACAGGGCTTGGATCTGAGTCACAGCAGGTCTCAGGCTCTGACCCACACCCAAGCAGGGTCCTAGGATTCTGGTCCTAAGTGATTGCTGACCTGAGTCAGACTGTGTGGATGGAAGGGGGTCTTGGGCTCAAACCGGAGTCACAGCCCGGGCTTAGTGTGCAGTGTAGACACACCCTTAATCCCTCTCGAGTGCACCCCTCAGGTGACAGACCTGGCTGCCTAAACCACTCCCAAGGTTGGAACCATGTGGCTTTACCACCCTTACGCTAAATCTCAGGATTCAGCCCTCTGGCTAACCTGACAGACCCAACTGGGTTTGGCACCTACAGGTCCTTTTCTTCTGGGAGCCTGTGACAAAATGAATTTGCAGGGACACAGAAACAGCTTCTTCAAAACAAAGCATTGGTTATTCACCCAAAGGTACAAAGCCTGCAAAGCAAAGGTACCCAGCAAAAATGCCTGTGTGCATATTCCCCCTAGCCTACACCTTAATCTTTCCTTGCAAGCTTTGATAAACTCCACTCAACACAGTTAATCCCATCTCTGGTCAGAAGAGTGACACTGCATTCTGCAGCATGCTCTGTGACTCCCTCTCCCAATGTGTGTGTCTGTCCCCATCATGACAACCCACTCAACTCCCTTCTTTCCTAGGCCAACATCTTTAAGGTTTTAGCATCCCCTTTGATCCCGGTTTAGGTCTGGGAAGAGTGCACCTTGCCATAGTAGCTGGAGCCAGGCATTGAGTATTCCCCAGTCAATGGCTCCTTGTTTGTCTCCTTAGAGACGCTTTGTATTCTATGGACTGTACCGTATCTTTGCCATTGTTTCATTTCCTGTTTTCCCCCTTCCAACTTCTTTTCACTATGTGTAATCAGGCACAAGTATACTGAGGTGCCCATGATATGTATAAAAAATAATACACAACTACCTCATTCTCCACAGATGTATTTGAAATTGGTCACACCCTGGAAACAATCACCAATCACACCAGCCTGTTCAGCATTGGCGCCCATTAGAGCAGGGTTCCCTTCCTGGCTCTGCTGTAGCTAGGCTTGGAAGAGTTAGATTTTTATTGGTAAATGTCGGTAAACATTGTTTTCCCTGTGTGCACACTAACTGATAAGAAATGTTTCTATCACTAATAATCAAAATTTACAGCTAGGCAGAGTAAGAAAACTGCTGCTTGAGAACTTATTAGAGTTTGATTTAAGGCTATTCACTTTGTATATTTTGACTTGTGATGTTGACAATTATGTTTTAAGGGTTATAAAGCTTTAACTTTTTGAATTGCAGCATCTAGTGCCATTAAATAATTATTGTCTGACTCGTCCCATTTCCCAGAACTGAGAAAGCTTAAATCCATAAAAAATTTAAAAAAGATTAAACCCCATAATTTTGTGCAACTGTGAAAATGTAAATGGATAAAAATGTTGAAAAGTGTTGAAAAACAAACATCAATACTATTTGTCAAACTTATATATATAAAAATAGAATTCTGCCAAGCCTAACTATAGATGACTGTGGGAAAATCACTTAACCGCACCAGGCCTCAGTCTACCCACCTGTAAAATGGGAATGATTCCCTACCTCACAAGGCTGTTATGAGAATACATTCTTATTATTTGTGAGTTGCTCAGTAATTACTATGATGATTGCCATAGAAAAGTCTATAGATAAGTCAATAAACTTCTGGTTGTGTTTTTTTTTCTGTTTCAGATCAAGCCATTTGTGAATTGATAGATCAAGCAAAATTTCTTGAAGCTTGTAATCACATTTATGATCTGGAACAATCTGAACATAAGAGTGAAATAAAGATTGACTCACTTTACAAAAAAGTAGCAGAAAGAATGTGGTCAGTTGTGCAAGAAGAAATCAGTGGAGGTGATAGTATGTTACTGGAGCCACTGAAATCAGTAGGTGCATCACTGAAGTGGAAGAAAGAGAAAGAAAAAGAATGGTTTGACAGTGTCAAAGACATGGAATCTGTTTCAACGTGGAGCCCAAAATACTGGAATAAAGATCTGGAGAAACTGCTAATGGAGTGCATGGCAACACAGATTCCCTCCTTTGTGTCTGCTAGCAACACAGATGAGTCTGCATTAAAAGATCATCTGAGTCAGTTGGAAACCACAATTTTTCCCAACCTGAGATGTAAAAGAGATGTCTTCAAAGAAGCAGGATTGCTCACTACCTATACAAAATGTTGTAATGCCTGTTTGTCCTCTCACCTTTCCACACTTACAGACGGTGATATGAGCTTCAGCAAATGTCTTCTCATTTATGAATGGGGCTTTAATATGTACAGAAGGTATGTTCCAAGTAATTCCTCTTTTTCTTTATACCTTTCAGTTTCCCTCTTAGTTCTGAGCATGGTCCTTCTTGAGCTTCAAGGCAGTGATGCTGAAGGAACATAAAGGGAAAGATTAGCCAATATTCAGGCCCTTGTGGGTTAGGAGGAGAAATTGATTATAGGTATTTCTTTGGTGCAGTCCTGTTTATTTACAAAGAATGGACACAAAGTCCTGTTTCCCTAAGCACAGTAGGAATCAAACAACAAGAGGCATTTTCTTTGCTCACAGTTCCAAGCTCTTTTCCAGTCAGCGCACTGTCCCAAAAACTCTCTCTTGGCTTTCTCTCATGGTCTCACTACCAGCGCTTCTCTTACTGTCTCCTTGGATTTCTTGCTGCTTTCTGTCTTCTTCTGATTTCTTCTGGCTCACAGACATGCTCAGCTATATCAAACAATGCCCCGCCTCCCTGCGTTTGTATTCTAAATTCCTTAGACCACATGGCTCAACTCCTACTCCAGCCTTGCCATGCTGGTATGTTATTTTGGGTGGTGGCTTCTACTCATGAAAGAGGCATTTAACTGCTCCCTCATTTATCCTAATCTAATGGAAGGCAGCTATCATGCCTACCCGCACTGCCCATAGGCCAAAGACACACTTCATGGGAGCCACCTAGCTTCCTGCATAACAGTGTCTTTTCTATGAGTTTGATTTTGCTTGCTCTTAGTGAATGGATTTCCTTTCCAGACCTAGGCCATGTCTACACTACAGACCTATATCGGAATAACTACGTCGCTCAAGGGCGTGAAAAAATCCACACCCCTGAGTGACGTAGTTATACTGACCTAACCCCCTGTGTAGGCAGTGCTATATCGGCATAGGAGCGTCTTCACTAAAGCGCTACAGCAGCGCAGCTGTACATGAAGACAGCTGTACATAGCACTGTACATGAAGACAAGCCCCTAGATACCTACCAATTTATAAATGGTATCATGGTAGCTGAATCCCTGACCATCTAGGGCTCTGTAGAGCACAACCTTGAACTTCGCCAAGAACTGACGAGAGAGAGAGAAGCAACAGAGGGTCCTGTGGGGGGAGAGAGAGAGAGGGTCTAAAGAATAGGCATTATGGGGCAGATTGACTTCCCTATTTTGCTCACTTTGTGCTACACAGATTGGAAATCACCTGCATCTCACTTAGGGATTCCCCTGGTGTTGTGGAGTTTCCAGTGGGGTTAGGGAAATCACAGTTGGCTCCTGCATTACCTCTGCTGCAGCCCTGGCTCAGAGCCCAGGAAAGAGGTGTGGCTGGATTGTATGGTGCTCCATCTGTCTTTAACTGGCAGATGGTACTCTAACCATGTTAGGGAAGAGCTGAACAAAGAATTGGGGCGCTGTAACCAGCCCTCTGGCAGTCCCCCAGCTCTGCTGCACTGAGTGGAATTCATCCGTAGCACATAATCTGCCCACCTACCCACAGATGGCTCACCCCACTCCCGAGGTCAGCCCCTGCACTCTGGCCAGCTGAAGCTTTCAAGTGCTTTTCAAGGATGGCTCAAGCACAAGACAGCTCATTGCAGCCATTTAGCCTAACAAATGAAAGGTTCACCCTGGCGTGATCTGCATTAGAACAGAGCAAGCATAGTGGTGTGCACTGCTCTTCTCTGAACTCCCTGCAGGTTGTTTCTCCTGGTAATGTGGTGCCCATTACTGATCACGGTATCCTAGGGGAACTTTGTTTAGCAGGGGCAGCACTTCTTGTTTAATGGAGAATGGAATCCAGCCTTCCCACAGGGAGACGTTAACAATTCTCACCAATAATGGAGCATCTGTGCCTGTCTACAGAATACTGGCCATGGATGCAGTTCCCTCAGTATACACCCAACCTCTTTCTAGCTACGGTACTTACATGGCTTCTATCACCATAGTATCTGAGCTCACTACTGCATCTTTAAAGTATTTATAGGGGAGCACTATTATCCCCATTTTACAGCTGAGGCACAGAGAGCCTGGGGGACTTGCCAAGCTTCACACAGGATGTTTGCAGCAGAGCAGGAATTGAACCTGTGTTTCCCACAGCACAAGCTAGTGCTTTAAGCACTGAATATCTGTCCCTGTGTACTTAAGAACCTGTAGATGTGGCCTAGAAAGTGTTAGTGGGGATAATCATCAGTAGACCATACCAGTTGCATTAAAGTCTGGATTCATTGATCATTTTTATCATTATGGTATTGTGGGTGGGAGGCAGGGATAGTTCAGTGGTTTGAGCACTGGCCTGCCAAACCCACTGTTGTGAGTTCAATCATTGAGGGGGCCATTTAGGGCTCTGGGGCAAAAATCTGTCTGGGGATTGGTCCTGCTTTGAGCAGGGGGTTGGACTAGATGATCTCCTGAGGTCCCTTCCAACCCTGATATTCTATGATTCTGTGCAGCTTCTCATCTGACATTTTAAACTTTTCACCCTGAAATGTAATGATTGTTGTCCTCATCGTAACAGCATAAATTTGTAGTGAAGATCAGTTCTGACCAAGCACTGCTCCATCTGTGTGCTGTTCTGGAAGCCAGTGACCCTAAGAACTGACTGTACAACTTGGGAAATGGCTTGGTTGCCCCAATTCAGCAAAGAACATGATGACTTCAGGCAAGTGCGGAGTCCATTGACGTGCTTAAGTACTTTGCTGAACTGGGGCTGTATGTTTGCAGCCAAATATTATTTACTTTCCCAGCCCTTTAAAAGTGACTATGATGGGCTGGTTCTGGCTCTTTAAGGTCAGGATAGGTTGTGTGAGAAGCCAATTACCCAATGTCTGTTCTGGTTACCTGGAAGGAGATGAGAGGCAGGTGGTCCCATGGAATAGTTAGTTTCTGGGAGGGTGAATGGACAGGAAAAACCCAGGATAGTGTTCCTTTATGAGCCCAGGACCAGCAACCTTGCAGAGTAGTTGAGACATGGCTCTCATCTCTCCCAGCTGGCCCAGGCAGGTGTTTTGGTTGCTAGACCCACCTGGGAAGGAGTAAGGGAGTAGTCAGGTGACTGGGTGGATGAATCAAAATGGAGGTTCCAAGCCTAGTCAGGGGAAGCTGCTGAGGGGAAGAACTCAGCTAGGGTACAGCCCTAAGAAGGAGGGCTATGCAAACTCTGAACCTCAGGGGAAAGTCCACCAGCCTCACTGGGTAAACACAGGCAGGCCCCATGAAGGAGAACTGTGGATACTCTGAACTTGAGGGGAGATTTTACAAGCTGGGGAGGCTGGGGCTAGATGTACAAAGACCAAGAGGGAGGGCTGTGAAACCCTGAATCTAAAAGGAGCGTTCTTTTGGGGGAGCTGATTAATCTGAATAAAAGAGACCCTGGGGTGGGGGGAATATTGTTTTTAAAGACTCTGCGTGTAAGTGGATTATTTTGAGAAGTCAGAGGGAAACTGAGGCAAGGTGTGTGCAGGGCCATCCCAGGCCATTGGGGGGTGCCCTGGGATGGCACCTATCCACACAGACTTTATCATGTATATTCTGTAAAATATGAATATCTGCTTTAATGATTGACTCTTGCACATGAATCAACATAGCTTGTGTGGAAATAGCAGGAGAGCTCTATTATTTCCCAACAGAGACTCTTGAGTGCCCAGAACTAATAGAACTTTTGAGAGGGCTGATGATGTTCTAAGGTCTTTGCATTTAACTATGCTGAATATCTCTTTAACGACAAATATAATAGGTATTCTCAGCTGTAAACATATTTATCTGAACTTGTACATTGCACCTTTCTCAACGCTAGGCTCATTACACAAATGTTACCTAAAGCACATTTTGAAGATCAACAACAGGCTGCCCAAAACTAGTGACACCAGCAGACCCTATTGCAGATGTAAAGAATTTTTGTCTCCTCTTCCCATTGTCAAACAACATTACTCTGCCCAGCCTTCTGACTCCTCAGTCATCCCATCCATCAATCACATACACATTCCCTCCAAAAAAAGCCTTGGAAAACGTGTAATTGTGTTTCTTACAGCATGTACTGAAGGTCACCAAATCTGTGATCTGTTGGACCAAGTAAGGAAGACAGTTCCAAAGTCTTTTGACTTATACTGGTACTGTATAGTTATTCCCCTTCCCATACAGGAATATTCCCTTTGAACAGATTGTGGTGGAAAAATTAACCACGCGTCGTGTTTGGATCAGAACAGCCTGAGACCCACTTTATTACAAGCATGCAGGGAGAGACAGCCAGCCTAGCTGGTCTGTCTAACAAAGGAACACAGAAGCTTTTATAGCTTAAAACCACATTTAGTCAAACACACTTTTCATTCATAATATCTGTTTAAACAGAAAAACAGCTCCTTATTAGGAATACAAAAGCAACAAGCTTTTCCTGTTATTCACAGGTTGTACTTTTGCGGTTAAGGCTTCTAGCGATTACAGATACATTTTTCATTCTCTTTTTTTCTCCTGACCCTTGTACACAGTTATTTTAATTAAAGTTATCCTGGTCAAAGTTTGGGCCTACTTAATTTTCCCTTACACTATATAGCTGTATCCACACTGTATCCACAGTTGTTTTCTGCATACAACTTTCTAGTGCAGACAAGGCCAAGAGAGAGAGATGCAGGAAGGAGTGGGGACAGAGGAGAGGGAATCAGAGAGGGGATGATGTAATTGGAGAATGGGGCCACAAAAAGGGCCAAAAAGAGAAGAATCAAAAAAGGATGGGGCTGGGGAGGATGGAAAAAATATTTTACCTAGTTGCAATTGTCCCTTAGATGAGAGCTGAATGCTGCTTTGTGCATGCAATTAGCCAGGTGAGCTACACGTCATAAATATGGCCATAGCCAAGCACAGACTCTCAGTACTGGGATTGGAAGAGCCACAAAACTACTGGAAAACTGCTGCTCTTACTGCAATTTTGTTTTCCGTGTGCAATGACAGCGAGAAGCTGCTGATGCCCCACTGGACTCCACAGCAGAGGCTCTTAGCTGATGCATATGTTCTCAAGTGGATTTTTTCAAATGTGGAGGAAAAGCTGCTCACAGTCACCCAGGTAAGAACTCCTTCCCATAGCATTGTGGATTGTCATTTAACGGCTGATCCATCCTCTCATAGAGACAGGGCAGGGCGAGGGTATGCACAGATGGATGTAAACTTGGCAGGAGGCCCAAGTTCAAAGTGACCCACAAAAGGGAAAAAATGGAGCATGCATCTTTCCCCCTCTATTTTTAATGCTGAAAAAAGAAGGCCTGAAAGTTGTGGGGTGGAGGGGGAGATTTGGTTCCTGCTTGTTTTTTACATGGGAAGTTCAGATCCTCTCTAGACTGGAAGACTCTATGGTGACTGGAGAACTAGCAACATCACAAGAGCTAAACATGAAAGTTTAGCTACTAAGAGAGAGAAGGATTTTTCATCAGAATGTTTATTTGGTTTTGGTTAAAATGTTTGAACAACTGTGTAATAATTAATTAATACTTTGTTAAAGATTCAGCACTCTCATCCTTTCAATAAAGTTAAGGGCCCACCATAAATTCCCTTATACTTCCCACAGGTCTGCCCACAAAAAACAGGGATGGCCAGATATTGCATTCTTGATATTTGTAAGCCAAACAAATAAAAAAACTGCCCACAATCTAAAAAAATAAAAAATGCTAAACAATGTCAGGTCTTCTCTGTTCATCATAAGAAGCGAAAAAAGGGCACAAGCCCAATTTATTAAAAAATCCTTTGCTGTTCACATTTAAGCAATGAAAGTTTTCTCTGTAGTGTCAGGTTTGTTTTTATGGTGTATCCAAAAGTCCTCGGCCAGCTTCCCATAGGGCAGCTGCATGATGCCCGCTTGGGTTAAACCGGACTGGACTATGAGCATAACACAAAGGCAGAAGATCTTCAAATGCACAGGTGCAGGGTGAGATAGGGAAACCTAACAGATTACAAATTGGGCCGTATTGTAAATGTTTGTATTTTAACTTTGTTATATTCAGAAGGAAGTGAGAGAAGCGCTCAGACAAGTAATTACCGCGGGGGAAAAACCCTATACAGACACTACAATCATTCAGGTAAACCACAGCTGATGTTCTTTGTAGCATGCAAGTCATTACACGCAAGATCCTCAGCATTTGCTAATATACTCTAATTTTACCAATCTAGACTCAAATCTGCTATGTTGCACACCTGCAATCTTACTGACTTCAGCTGTAGCTGTGTCACTGAGAGCAGAGTTTTTCCTCTTCTGTATAAAAGAAAAATAATGAACTTTCCCATGTTTCTCTATATCGGGGTCGGCAACCCTTCAGAACTGGTGTGCCGAGTCTTCATTTATTCACTCTAATTTAAGGTTCCGCGTGCCAGTAATACATTTTAACGTTTTTAGAAGGTCTCTTTCTATAAGTCTATAATATATAACTAAACTATTGTTGTATGTAAAGTAAATAAGGTTTTAAAAATGTTTAAGAAGCTTCATTTAAAATTAAATTAAAATGCAGAGCTCCCCGGACCAGTGGCCAGGACTCGGGCAGTGTGAGTGCCACTGAAAATTAGCTCACGTAATGCGTTCGGCATGCATGCCATAGGTTGCCTACCCCTGCTCTATATCCTCAGCAATACCCTGCTCCTGCTCCCACTGAAGTCAGTGGGAGTTTTGCCATTAACTTCATTGTGGGCAGGCTCATGCTTGAAGTGCTGCATGCATGTTCGCATGAAACTTTAATATGTCTATAATGGTGGTGTAGAGGCATTGGTCCAGATTTTCCTAACATGACCAAGGACAGGATAGGCTCATTACTCAATGCAGGGCTGGAGGGGAGAGATAATAACAGAAAACATGGAAATGTCAGAAGTGCTAAATGCCTTTTTTGTTTCCGTTTTCACCAAAAAGGTTAGTAGTGATCAGATGTCTACCATAGTGAATGCCAGTGAAAATGAGGTAGGATCTGAGGCTAAAAGAGGGAAAGAACAAGTTCAAAATTACTTAGACAAGTTAGATGTCTTCAAGTTGGCAGGGCCTGATGAAATGCATCCTAGAATATTCAAGGAGATGACTGAGGAGATACTAAGCCATTAGTGATTATCTTTGAAAACTCATGGAAAATGGGAGAGATTCCAGAGGACTGGAAAAGAGCAAAGGTAGTGCCAATCTATAAAAAAGGGGAATTAGGAAAACCTGGAGAATTACAGTCCAGTCATCTTAACTTCAGTACCTGGAAAGATAATGGAGCAAATAATCAAGCAATCAATTTGCAAACACCTAGAAGACAATAAGTTGCTAAGTAATAGTCAACATGGATTTGTCAAGAAAAAATCATGTCAAACCAACCTAGGAATGTGCAAGTGATAGTTTGCAAAAATAGCTAATACAGGAAATTTGCATGGGCACATATAGAGGCCAAGTTGAGGATCCTTTGAAATTTGGCCCGCCAAGGTTTCCTGCGTGGCCTGCCAGTTAAGCTCTGTCTGAGCAGCTGGAGAGTGGTGACTGCTGGCCGGGTGCCCAGCTCTAAAGGCAGCACCGTCGTCAGCAGCAGCACAGAAGTAAGGGTGGCAATACACCATACCATGCCACCCTTACTTCTCTGCTGCTGCTGGTGGCTCTGCCTTCAGAGCTGGGTGCCCGGCCAGCAGCTGCCGCTATTCAGCTGCCCAGCCAGTGCTTAATTTGTGCTGGGCTGAGCTCCGGCATCTCTTTCATTACAAATTAAGCACTCCAGGTAATAATGTTGATTTGTAAACTTTGTTAAAAGATAGAAACACTAATACTTATGTTCCAATCAAGGTCTTTATTTATTGGGAGCTGAAGTTTTTTTTCTTTTATTTTGTCAGTCTTCTGCACGAATGGCCTGCCTCTTGTCATAAAATACTCAAATCGGCCTGCAGGCAGATCTAATTGAGTAGAACAGCATTGGAGTTTGGATTTGATGGTACTGAAATGACAAGTTATTGGGCTCAATGCAGGGGTAACTGGGTGAAATGTACTGGCCTGGGATCTACAGACAGTCAGATTAGATGACCTAATGGTCCCTTCTGGCCTTAAACTCTATGAATCTATGAAATCTCTCAAGGTGTTCTCATGAGATTTCCACCAGCAGGGGCTGCATCCAGAACCAGTCCCATAGGGACAGTAAGACAGGGTGAAACATCCAAGAAAGGATTAAGGGCTGCCTGCCTGTCGCATGACTAGGTGACCAGACGTCCCGATAAAATCGGGACCGTCCCGATATTTCGGTGTCTGTCCCGCATCCCGACCGATCTTTGCTCGGGATGCATTTTGTCCCGATATCCACCGGCAGCACTGTGGGGTTTTTTTGTTTTGTTTTTTTTCTCAGCCAGCAGGACTCGGTTTTTTTTTGCTCTGCCGGCGGGCCCCCCCCCCATGTGTCCCGATATTTTCTTCCCCTCATCTGGTCACCCTACGCATGACTGAGCAGGGGATTTAAGCAGAGGTAGGGGAAAAACCTCTGGGGATTGCAGCCTGCTTTGGTCAGGGAAATCACTTTGTTTTGTTAACTTCCTGAGTTTGTGTTTATGAAAGTGTGCCCTGATCACGGGCGGCGGGTGAAACTTCCCCTTGGGGAGGCTAGCCCTCTGCCCTGCCTCTTCTGGGAGAGGCCATCCCCCGCTCGCTGCTCTCAGCCCCTCTGTGGCCCCGGGTGGGGGGGGGAGCTGAGAGTTTGGCCCCTCCCCCACATGGTCCCAGCAGGGGCGGGGTGGGCTGAGAGCTTGGTCAGGTCACGGGGAGGGAAGGGGGTGGGGGTTGGCTTAGAGCTCAGCCCTGGCTGGAATCGAGCTCTCAACCCCAGCTAGGACCACGGCAGAGCTCTTGGCCCTTGCCGGCGCTCCAAGCCAGGAGCCCGTCCCCTATTCCGCCCTTTTTGCCTGCAGCCCCATCCATGGCCCCACCCCATTCCGCCCCTTTCCCCGCAGCCCCGCCCATGTTCCTTCCCCACTCGGCCTCTTCCCCTGAGGCCCTGCCCTCCGCTTGCTTGCTCCTTTCACACACACCCCGCTGGGGCCCTGAGATCGGAAAAGCTCTGAGGCTGGGAGTGAGACCTCCTCCAGTTCTTGGGCCCTGGTGGGTGGAGATTTTTCTGGGGCCCCCAGATTGGCCGAGGCCCCTGGGCATGGCATGATCCTGGTTCTTCCCTGGGCCAGTAAGAAAGCCACCTGCTTACAGGAAGGTTCAGACCCAATTATTCAAATCAACCTTGTCTCCCAAATCTGACTGTGGATTCAGACTTGAGGTTCCAATTCAGGCCCATCTCTACATGAAATAAATATTTAGGCACAAATCTTCAGACGGTGGCCTCAGTTTCTCTTCAGGCACAAATTATGTCTGAAATTTGATCAGATGTTTAAGTACCTGCTTTGTGGCTCCATCAGGTATTTAGCCATCCAAGCCAGTGTGGCCACAAATGACTGCACAGGCTGGTTAAGGCAAGGTGGAAAATGTTGTCTTTAACATGGCACATAGGCATATTAGGGCTGGTCTACACTGGGGGGGGGGGATCGATCCAAGATACGCAACTTCAGCTACGTGAATAGCGTAGCTGAAGTCGAAGTATCTTGGATCGAATTACCTGGGGTGCAGATGGCGCAGGATCGATGGCCGCGGTTCCCCCGTCGACTGCGCTACCGCCGCTTGCTCTGGTGGAGTTCCGGAGTCGACGGTGAGCGCGTTTGGGGATTGATATATCGCGTCTTAACGAGACGCGATATATCGATCCTGGATAAATCGATTGCTACCCGCCGATATGGCGGGTAGTGAAGACGTACCCTTAGATTAGCTATCTATATCTATCTATACTGTCTATAATATCTATACTGGCAAAGTCTCCTAATGAAGACACAGCTTATACTGGCCAAAGAGTTATTTTGCAAGTATATTTTATACCAGTTCCCCAAACAAAATAAGGCATAACGGCAAAAGCACTTTTTTGCTAGCATGACTGCATCTACACTAAGGCTTTTGCCAGCATAGCTATGTCAGCTACAAGTGTGATTTTTTTTTTTCATACTCCTAACTGAAGTAACAATGCCAGCAACATTTAACTGTAGAGCAGGCCTAAGGTTGCCTTTTAAATGCTGTGTACCACTTTTTCCAAGAGACACTGTTGTTCGACTTGATGTCCTGGTCAAGTTCCTGACTCAGGTGGAATGTGATTACCCAGCTACCATTCTGTACTTGTCAACTCAATATGGCATTCTTCACTTTCTGTCCTAAACTGGTGCATAGTATTCTGTACCCTGATTAACAACTGCTAGATCTGGCTGCATTTCAGTGGTGTATATAGTTGGTGCTGTTTGGAGAAGGCTTTGGGATGTTTTTTTGTAATGCAAAGTGCTGTATGAATGTAAGATCCTGAAAATATTACTTACTTTCTTTTTGTTCTGTGTTTGTATAGTACCTAGCACAACAGGGACCTGATCCTTCACTGGGGCACTTAGGTATATAGATATGATGATGATGCATAATATTACTATGTAACATTACACATTATGTAGGATCATGAAAATAGTACTTCTGCAATTTTGTTTTCTTAATGCCTAAAGATGAACAGATCATCAATATTTTCACAATACATGTCTCATGCTCAGATTAGGGGAGTGTGTTTTCTTCCTCCTTTTTTGCTGAACTGATACATTTATTGTGGCTAGTGCATGGAAAATCCCACTCTCTCTGTGTGTCACCATTTGTCTCTCTGACACTACGCAGATCATGGCCTGAACACAGAATATATTATTCTGTCTGTCTCCTTTTTACCATCCGGTCCTTTCCCACCGCAAGGGTCCATTTCAAGAGAGTAGCTAGTAGCGTTAACACCTGTTCAAGTCAATCCAAACAGAGACTGATTTTCATCCTTCTGGCAGGAAGAAACTAAGTGCTCTGCTTGGCTTACCATTTGAAAGTGTAAGGTGGCGTCGGGGAATTAGCATGAGCAAATTGTCAGGACCCTATTTATTATCTTATGCCATGAAACGAAGCCCACCTATTCCTTGCTGCCAGTCTGGTAGAATAAGCATCTCACCCCAGGAATACTGTCTGTGTATGTTTTTATATAGGCATCTTTTTATGGTCAAAGATGGCATTTCTCTATATAGTCATATCTATTCAAATACAAGGTCATGCTAAAGTTGCTGGCAAACCCCACAGAAATGAAGATGGCAAATATTGTATGAATTGGGCCCTGCAGCTGAGTATTATTAGTAATGCCCAAACGTGAGGCCAGATTCTTCCACTCTTATTCGCACTGAGTGGCACCTTACTGCACAGGAAGTCCTACCGACTTCAGCAGAAGCATTTGTGGAGTAACATACTATTCACTGTGAGTCTGGGAATCCAAATCTAGACCCTAGGGAGTATTTTTATTCACATGAGGATTTTTAAAATGAGGAACTAAATCATTCCCTAAGAAGATGGAGGGACTTTTAAAGGTGAAGGAGATGTGAGAAATCATGTGCACCTAATCACATTTGAATAACTTCAGAATGTTCTATCACTACTTAAATCGACAGGTATTAACAGGGAGGGCACAGGCAGTCCAGCATATCAGTGATACCATAAAAGACAGGGTGGAAGCTGTATGTTTGGAAGAACTTCTGCATTTTCTGCATAGGTAAGAGGCCCATCTTTTTCTGCATTGACCCATCGTCAGTAAAAGAAAGAAGAAATGGTAGCAGATTTATTGGTGACTTTTTGTTTGTCTGAACCTATTTTTATTTCCCAATTCCCTATTTATTACCCCATTTTACAGCAAGTTCTCATCAAGCAGCCAGACTCAAGTTTCATCACCTTTCTTGGAGATTTTATTCCTCTGGACTTTTTTGGTTTTCTTAAGTACTTGGGTCAACATTTATTCTGGGAAACAATAGAAAAGGACATTTCACACCCTGTTAGTACCCAGGTCAGGTGTGTTGTATGTGTAACAGTAATGTACCAGTGCCATGCACATTCTGGGGTCTGTGAGGGCCTCATCTAATGACTGCTGAAGTCAATGGAAAGACTCTCATTGATTTTAATGGGTTTGGAATCAGGCCCAGAATAAGGCTCTCACTAAATTACCAGTAAGGTGTTTTTTTTTTTTTTTTAAACTCTCTTTCCTAACTGTTCAGAGAGAAGACTCTTTTCCCACTCTTAGTTACTAAAAGCAGAGGACACTGCCTCCTCCTAACCCTTTCCCACTTGAATAAAGTACTGCACCCTCATCTTTCTTTCTTTCTTTCTTTCTTTCTTGTTTTAACAGGTCTACTTACCATGTAAGTATCAGAGACAACACAATAATCAGTACAACAGTGAGATTTTGTTTAGAGAAACATTCTACATTAATATAATAATCGGGTCTCTCTATTTAACAGGCTTTTACCATACACTCCCCAGGGTGTGTTGTTTCTGGTGGTTTTATTAAACCGAGTGACACTTCTGATTATACATTTATCAAATGACATTTATTACAAACATTAATATTTAAAAAAATTGGACAGGTGTCCGTAGTATCTGTTTGCCAGAAGCTGGGAATGGATGACAGGGGATGGATCACTTGATGATTATCTGTTCTGTTCATTCCCTCTGAAGTACCTGGCATAGGCCACTGTTGGAAAACAAGATACTGGGCTAGATGGACCTTTCATCTGATCCAGTATGGTCGTTCTTATGTTCTTAGGTGTGCTTTTTTTCTTTTTTCTTTTGCTGGCTAATGTGCTTTGTCTGAGTACTGAATAAATTATAACCAAATATCTAAGTATTTATTGTCCTATGTCTATTTTGCTGGGAATGTAATTGGTGGGTTAATTTTTCCATAACAACAATCTCCCATATTTCTCTTCTCATTTCTAGCTGCTGAGAGGACAGAGCTCTGGTCCCTCCTCTTGTTCAGGGCCAGCTCTGGCTTTTTTGCCGCCCAAGGCAAAAAAGCCTCCGGCCGCCCGCGGGAGGGGGGGGGGCCGGAGCCCCGGGGGGAGGGTGGCGAGCCCCGGCGGGGGCTCGGCTCTCCCCCCCGGCAGCCAGAGGGCCGGGGGCAGGGCGGCGAGCCCCGGCGGGGGCTCGGCTCTCTCCCCCCTCCCCCCCCCGGCGGCCAGAGCGCCGGGGGCAGGGCGGCGAGAGAGCGGCGAGCCCCGGCTGGGGCTCGGCTCTCCCCCCGGCGGCTAGAGCGCAGGGCGGCGAGCCCTGGCAGGGGCTCGCCGCTCTCCCCTCGGCGGCCGGGGGGAGGCCGCAGGGGGGAGGGCGGCCAGAGCGCCGGGGGGTGGGCGGCTGTGGCCCCGCTCTCCCCGGCGGCCGGAGCGCCGCGCCGCCCCCCTCCAGGTGCCGCCCCAAGCACCAGCTTGGGTGCTTGGTGCCTGGAGCCGGCCCTGCTCTTGTTTCTTGGAGGAGGATGAGTGTGCTGTCTCTGTATTCCCACCTGCCATTCTCTATAACAGGGATGGGGACTTATCATTTCTTCTGGCTCCTTCCTTCTCTTCTTTTTCCAGTATGGGTCTCTCACTGTATCCCATCCAGCAGAGAGTCCTGTACTACTACTTGTAGGCAATATATTTTCAGAAAGGAGTGTGATTTTTTTCTTTTTCTTTTAAAGTTCACTGTCCCTTTAAATTAACAGAGGGAAGGAATTAAGTTCAAGAGTGAGTTGCCCAGCAATGCTATAAATCTGAGGCCTTTAGGGACTCAAGCTCTCACCAGATTTCACTGATTACTCATGCACCTTGAGTCTTCTAGAAGTGCACGAGGTTTCGGGCAAGTCCCTTTTGCTTTGTCGCTTACAAAGAGCAAGTATTTAAAAAAATTAACACACAAAATCCCCAGAACCACTACAGTGACACATGCCTAAGCTGAGTAACTTCCCAGTCTTATTACTTTAACACTTCCCTATCCCTCCCAGCTACTTAGGGCAGGGACTGTATCTTTTTCCTATTCTAGAAAGCATCTAGAAGAGTAAAACTGTGCATGCTAAGAATCAAAGTATTAATGGAATATTTCGTCTGTTTGCTGCCAGGCTATCCGATTCTGTAATGTTGGCAGACCTTGCTATTTAAACATGTCTTTGTTACTTTGTTTAACCTAGCTATAAACATGAAGTGAGAAGCCTTCTCCAACTTGACACCTTTTCTGAGACCTACAGCAATTTGCAAATACTTGAGAACTGCTGCATTTTCAGGTGAGAAAACAGACCAGGGTGACATGTGAAGTGAAGTGAATTTTCTGCTTTATGGGCCTCATCTAGCTCCCATTGAAGTCAATGAGACTACTTGAGTGCTTAAAGTTAAGCAAGAGCTTAAGTGCTTTGCTGGATCAATCCCTATATGAACACCCTACATCTTACCTCTTTTTGTTAAAAGGAACAGGAAGCAACAAAGCATAAAAGGAGAGAGGAGGTTCTAGGCACCAAAATGCTCAATTCAGTAATGCTCGTGACAGTGGTGAAAACAGGCTTACTGGTGGTTTTTCTGTGTAAGATTACCCGGGGATCTGCTGGAGTCAGCCAAAAAACCCTAACCCCAAAAATAGCCATAGTGTTTACTTTAATTTTGGAGTCAGTCATGCTCAAGTAATTTTTTCTTTCATAATATATGCGCTGTGATATGTTGCTTACAGTGAAGGCAAGAGTCCCATGATATGTTGCTAACACTGTGAATCCTAAACTGAAGATTTATGTTGGCTCCACTGAGTAGAAAATATTTATATTGTTCTTTTAAAATGTGAAACTAAAAATTACACATTAACCTTTTCCAGAAAATAAAAATGATGATTTCTGATTTGTGGACACCTTAACCTGGGACTTGCATGATTATGTAGATTTGAAGAATGCTCTGATTATATATGTCTGCATTTTTTGCTTGTAAGCTTTGGCCTTCTTAATGTACGGTGCTATTCAATTTGCATTTGTTATGTGCCAAACGTACAAAGGATCCCTGACCCAGTCTCCATTTATCTGCAAGCTGTCTTATATATGCAAATCCTGTTTGTGTGCTATTTTTTGTGTCCTCTCATTTGGGAACATGACAGAATTTGCATTTGCAAAACCCATTTATGTTTGATTTGCATGTACAAGTGGCATTTGTTTGTGTAAAGTTGCACACATTAACGAGAGCACTCAAAAATACATGCACAAGTGATTGTGCACTTAGGCCCTCATCCAGTGATGCAGTTAAACATGTAACAACCTTTAACCATTTGAAAAAAATCCCATTGACTCAAATGGAAGTTGGATCAGGCCTTAAGAGACCATTGACTGAAAATATGGCCCTATGTGACTTTTGGTTTTGGTTTGTTCTTTTTTTTTTTTGACAGAGCTGCTTGGCATAAGCTAACGTACATCTACAGTGCTAGTGCTGACACTGATGCTAAAGTGAAGGAATTTATAGACAGTACAGAAAAACAGAGTAGAGAACTTCTTCTGCAGGCAATTACTTCTAAAGTCAAGGTATCTGAGACCAGTGTTAACATTTAATGATGTTTTCATGCTGTCAGGCAGATGTTCCTATCCTGATCCTGGGGATGATGTATGGCTTTGTCTGCAGGACTGATGAATTGATATATTTTAGATCTGTATCTTGGAGCTTCTGTCTATTTAATCATTCAGGATTCTGATACTCTGCTTTTTGGAGCCATAATCTTTTCTGCTATTACTAAAGGTGCACCGATGGCTGCCCACCTGTATTCAAATCCCAATAGCTGAAGTGAAAAATATTAATTTCTAATGGTTATGAATTTCTCAATGAACAAAGTTAAATAATGTGATGCCATTTATCTTTGGTGTGTTGTTCACTTCTTCACAAAGATGAAGACCACTACAAACATATCAGATGGCTGTCAAAGCCTGTGTGTGTGTGTGTGTGCGCGCGCGTGCCCCCTTAGTTAATCCTAGGTACAGAGAAGGTAGATCGAGGGCTTCTGTTCTCCATATCTCATAACTCAAGAATGAGGGGACATTTGGTGACACTGAAAGGTGGCAAATTCAAAACTGATAAAAGAAATACTTTTCTACATGGTGCACAATTAGACTGTGGAACTCATTCCCACAGTAAGTCATTAAAGCCAAGAATTTAGCAAGATTCAAAAAGCACCTGGACACTTATCTGGAGATCAAGAATTTCCAGAGTTATAATAGCTGATGGAAACAAAATTTGGGAAGGGATTTTAAACCTCATGCTTCAGGCCTTAAGTCAGTCTCTGACTGTTAGAGATCAGGATGAGACTTAATATGGAGGGCAGATTATCTCGCATATGCCTGCTGCAGGGTTCTTGTACCTTCCTCTGAAGCATCTGGTGCTGACTATTGTTGGAGATCGGATGCTGGACTAGATGAACCACAGGGTTGATCCAGTTTGGCAGATCCTGTGATCCTAATCTGTGTTGGCACATCCTGCATAGCCTCACTGATATAGCTATTGCTTCACTGAGAGGCTGTCTGCCTTCCACAGTCTTATGAAGTGTGTTATAGCCGTGCTGGTCCCAGGATATCAGAGAGACAGTGTTGGTGAGGTAATATCTTTTATTGGACCAGCTTCTGTTGGTTAGAAAGACAAAATGTCGAGTTTACACAGAGGTCTTTTTCTGGACTGGGAAACTTTTTCAGGTCGGGCCAACACTACAAACTTACACATAGGCCCTGGAACTAAGGGTGCAGCATCCCCTGGCTTGAAGTGGTTTCCTTCATATACAGGGTTTACAGTTTGGTTCAATGGCTCTCAGCACCCGCACTATACAAATTGTTTCAGCACCCCTGAACTTCCATCGGTATAACTACGTTGCTCAGGTGTGTGAAAAATCCATACCCCATAGCAACATAGTTATGCCGACCTAACCCCTGTATAGACAGCACTATGCTGACGGGATTGCTTTTCCTGTTAACATAGCTACTGCTTCTCATGGAGGTGGATTAACTGCGCTGACAGGAGAAGCTGTCCCATCAGTGCAGTAGCATCTTCACTAAAGTGCTACAGCTGCAGTGCTGTACGGGTAGACAAGCCACCAGAGTGAGTGTCACACCTAATGCAAGATGGAACAGATTGTTTAGTTTAATTGTTAACACATATTTCGAGGGACCATTGAAGGTGAAGTGGCCCGTTAACACCCCTCCACTCATAGAGAGGAAAGGAAGAGAGGGGGAAGCAGCTGGGGGAGGGGGGCATTATTAGTGGATTACAGATTGTTCTAGTAAGCGATAAATGCAGTGTTTCTATTCAGTCCATGATTAAGTAAGTATCATTAAGTAAGTCTAGCAAAGTTATGAATTTAAGATCCCAGATTCGTTTTTTGAAAGTGTTGTGCAGGTTTCCTTTGAGGATGAGGACTGAGAGGTCGTAGAATCATAGAAGATTAGGATTGGAAGAGACCTCAGGAGGTCATCTAGTCCTACCCCCTGCTCAAAGCAGGACCAACCCCAACTAAATCATCCCAGCCAGGGCTTTGTCAAGCCGGACCTTAGAGATTTTTAAGGATGGAAATTCCACCACTCCCTAGGTAACCCATTCCAGTGCTTGACCACCCGCCTAGTGAAATAGTTTTTCCTAATATCCAACACAGACCTCCCTCACTGCAACATGAGACCATTGCTTCTTGTTCTGTCATCTGCCACCACTGAGAACAGCCTAGCTCCATCCACTTTGGAACCCCACTTCAGGTAGTTACATAAGAACGGCCGTACTGGGTCAGACCAAAGGTCCATCTAGCCCAGTATCCTGTTTACCAACAGTGACCAATGCCAGGTGCCCCAGAGGGAGTGAACCTAACAGGTAATGATCACGTGATCTCTCTCCTGCCATCCATCTCCACCCTCTGACAAACAGAGGCTAGGGACACCATTCCTTACCCATCCTGGCTAATAGCCATTAATGGACTTAACCTCCATGAATTTATCCAGTTCTCTTTTAAACGCTGTTATAGTCCTAGCCTTCACAACCTCCTCAGGCAAGGAGTTCCACAAGTTGACTGTGCGCTGTGTGAAGAAGAACTTTTATTTGTTTTAAACCTGCTGCCCCTTAATTTCATTTGGTGGCCCCTAGTTCTTGTATTATGGGAATAAATAAATAACTTTTCCTTAACTACTTTCTCCACATCACTCATGATTTTATATACCTCTATCATATCCCCCTTAGTCTCCTCTTTTCCAAGCTGAAAAGTCCTAGCCTCTTTAATTTCTCCTCATATGGGACCCATTCCAAACCCCTAATCATTTTAGTTGCCCTTCTCTGAACCTTTTCTAGTGCCAGTATATCTTTTTTGAGATGAGGAGACCACATCTGTATGCAGTATTCAAGATGTGGGCGTACCATCGATTTATATAAGGGCAATAATATATTCTCCGTCTTATTCTCTATCCCCTTTTTAATGATTCCTAACATCCTGTTTGCTTTTTTGACTGCCTCTGCACACTGCGTGGACGTCTTCAGAGAACTATCCACGATGACTCCAAGATCTTTTTCCTGATTTGTTGTAGCTAAATTAGCCCCTATCATATTGTAGGTATAGTTGGGGTTATTTTTTCCAATAATTTACTTTAAATTTAGCCACATAAAATTTCATTTGCCATTTTGTTGCCCAATCACTTAGTTTTGTGAGATCTTTTTGAAGTTCTTCACAGTCTGCTTTGGTCCTAACTATCTTGAGCAGTTGAAGGCTGCTATCAAATTCCTCCTGACTCTTCTCTTCTGCAGACTAAATAAGCCCAGTTCCCTCAGCCCCTCCTCGTAAGTCATGTGCCCGAGCCCCCTAATCATTTTCGTTGCCCTCCGCTGGACTCTCTCAATTCGTCCACATCCTTTCTGTAGTGGGGGGCTCAAAACTGGATGCAATACTCCAGATGTGGCCTCACCAGTGCCGAAGAGAGGGGATTAATCACTTCCCTCGATCTGCTGGCAATGCTCCTACTAATGCAGCCCAATATGCCGTTAGCCTTCTTGGCAACAAGGGCACACTGTTGACTCATATCCATCTTCTCGTCCACCATAATCCCCAGGTCCTTTTCTGCAGAACTGCCGCTTAGCCAGTTGGTCCTTAGCCTGTAGTAGTGCATGGGATTCTTCTGTCCTGAGTGCAGAACTCTGCACTTGTCCTTGTTGTGCCTCATCAGATTTCTTTTGGCCCAATCCTCCAATCTGTCTAGGTCACACTGGACCCTATCCCTACCCTCCAGCATGTCTACCTCTCCCCACAGCTTAGTGTCATCCGCAAACTTGTTGAGGGTACAATCCATCCCATCATCCAGATCATTAATGAAAATGTTGAACAAAACTGGACCCAGGACCAAACCCTGAGGCACTCCACTTGATACCGGCTGCCAACTAGACATCGAGCCGTTGATCACTACCCATTGAGCCTGATGATCTAGCCAGTTTTCTATCCACCTTTAGTCCATTCATCCAATCCATACTTTTTTAACTTGCTGGCAAGAATACTGTGGGAGATCGTATCAAAAGCTTTGCTAAAGTCAAGGTATATCACGTCCACCACTTTCCCCATATCCACAGAGCCAGTTATCTCATCATAAAAGGCAATTAAGTTAGTCAGGCATGACTTGCCCTTGGTGAAGCCATGTTGACTGTTCCTGATCACCTTCCTCTCCTCCAAGTGCTTCAGAATGGATTCCTTGAGGACCTGCTCCCTGATTTTTCTAGGGACTGAGGTGAGGCTGACTGGTCTGTAGTTCCCCGGATTCTCTTTCTTCCCCTTTTTAAAGATGAGCACTATATTTGCTTTTTTCCAATCGTTTGGGACCTCCCCCGATGGCCACAAGTTTTCAAAGATCATGGCCAATGGCTCTGCAATCATATCAGGTCAGATATAGAGTGACCGCTTTGTGAAAAGTGTTCACCCACAGGTGATAGGGTGTTTTTGTCTTTTATCATTGTCCTGTGTGAGTTCATTGGGAGCACAGTGATTGTCTGGTTTCATCCACATAGTTGCTATTGGGGCATTTAGTGCACAGGATGAGGCACACCACATGTTGTGATAGGCATGTATAGGACCCATGGATTTTGTAAGATGTGTTGGGGAAGGGGGTGTTGAACATTTTAGCAGTGGAGATATGTCTGCATGTTTTGCATCTGTTGTTCTGGCAGGGTCTGGTCTCACTTTGAATTGGTGTGGCCTTGTCTGTGGAGAACTTGCTCCTGATGATACTCCTGGCGATACTGGGCATTGTTTGAAGGCCAGAAGAAGGGGTTCAGGAAAGATTTCTTTCAGGATGGGGTCCCCATTGAGTATGGGTTGTAGTTATTTGTTTATACCCCATATGGGTTCCAGTGTGGGGTGGTAGATAACAACTAGGGATATGTGGTTAGAAGGAGTTTTATTTCTGTACTGGAGCAGGTTCTCTTGGGATATTTGGGTGGCCCATTCCATGATGCGATCTGCATGTCTGGTGCAGTGTCCTTGTTTGGTGAAGGTGGTTTTGAGTGTGTTAAGGTGTATATCCTAGACTCTCTTCTCTGAGCATATTCTGTGGTATCTGAAGCTATGTCTATACTAGCACTTATGTCAGCAAAACTTTTGTCGCTCAGGAATGTGAAAAAACACCCCTCTAAGCGACAAGTTTTTGCCGGCATAAGTGCTCATGTGCACAGTGCTATGTCAGTGGGAGATGCTCTCCCACCCAGGGCCGGCTCCAGGCACCAGCTTGGCAAGCTGGTGCTTGGGGTGGCCACTCCGGAGAGGGGCAGCAGGTCCAGCTATTCGGCGGCAATTCGGCGGACGGTCTCTCACTCCCGCTCGGAGCGAAAGACCTTCCGCCGAATTGCCGCCGCAGATCGCAATCGTGATCGCAGCTTTTTTTTTTTTTTTTTTTTTTTTTTTTTTTTTTTTTGGCTGCTTGGGGCGGCCAAAACTCTGGAGCCGGCCCTGCTCCCACCGACATAGCTACAGCCGCTTGTTGAGCTGGTGTTATTATGTTGATGGGAGAGCTCTCTCCCATTGGCATAATGTGGCTACACCATTGATCTTACAGCGGCACAGCAGTATCGGTACAGCTGTGCTGTTGTAATCTTGTAAGTGTAGACATGGCCTGAGTGTCTTGCTGTAGATTACAGATTTCTTGGGGTTTGGGATGATGACTGGATCTATGAAGGTCGGTGTGGTGATCCAAGGGTTTCTTGTATATAGTTGTCTGTAGGGTTCCATTGTTGAAGCTGATTGTGGTGTGCAGGAAGTTGATGCTAGTGTGGGAGTGTTCCAGAGACAGTTTAATGGATGGGTGGTGGTTGCTGAAGTTGTGATGGAAATCTATGAGGGACGTAGGTCGTCTTTCCAGAGGATGAAAATATCATTAATATATCTCAGTGTGTGGGAGTATGTGATGATTTCTTGTTTGAGGTGGTTCCTCCTGAAGCATGTGAGGTGCAGTAAGTGGTGCCTCAGTTTTTCTGAAGTCCACCTGCCGAGCTGTTCAGCATATTTGGAGTTGTATGTAGTGGTCAGAGTGTGTTAGATGATGAGACCTCTGGGGATAATGTTTTGTTTCTTGTATTTGCTCAGGAAGTAGATGTTGTGGTAAGTTTTGCTTCCTTTTTCTTTATGTTGTGTAATTTCCATTTCAGATGGTAAAATTAGGTATCTTCCATTATTGCATGCAATGTTGTTGTAGCCGTGTTGGTCCCAGGATATTAGAGAGACAAAGTGGGTGAGGTAATATCTTTTATTGGACCAACTTCTGTTGATGAGAGAAACAAACTTTGGAGCTTACTCAGAGGTCTTCTTCAGCTCCCCACAGACCAGGACACACCAACTTAAAGCAGAACCAGACCCTATCAGAACAAGAGACATATCTCCACTGCAGACATATCTCCACTGCTGTAATGATCAACACACCCTACAACACACCTTTCAAGATCCATGTATCCTACATATGCCTATCACAACAGGTGGTGTACCTCATCCAGTGGATAATGTTTTCACCCCTCAACTCACAGAGTAAATGCCCCAGTAGCAACTATGTGGGTGAAAGCAGACAGTTACTACAGTCTTGCATGCATTCACCCAGGAAAATGATAAAAGACAAAAACACCCTATCATCTGTCGGTGAACACTTTTCACAAAGCGATTATGCTATATCTGGCCTATCAGTCCTCATCCTCAAAGGAAACCTGCACAACACTTTCAAAAGATGAGTCTGGGAGCTTAAATTCATAACTTTGCTAGACACTAAAAATCATGGACTGAATGGAGACCTGGATTTATGGCTTATTACAAAAAAATCTATAACCCATTAACAACCCCCCCCACTTCCTCCCCTCCCATTCCTCCCTATGATTGGAGGGGTGTTAATGGGCCACTTCACCTTAAATGGTCTCTGGAAATGTGTTAACTATTTATGCTAAACAATCTGTTCCATCTTGTATTTAGCTGTGACACTCTGAGTAAGTTTCCCAGACCTGAAGAAGAGCTCTGTGTAAGCTCAAAAGCTTGTCTCTCTCACCAACAGAAGTTGGTCCAATAAAATATATTATCTCACCCACCTTGTCTCTTCCAGAGCCTGAGGTCTTCCAGTGTTTGGCTCAACATGTTAATTTAGTCTATCTTGGGTTTTAATTGTTTCCTGCTTTCATCGTTTTGCTTATCATTTGAAACAAAGGAATGAAAAGAAGATGCTGCAGCACTTGAATGACTCCACCTGTAAAAGTGGATGGAGAAACAGAAATTATGCTTCTGTGATGTTTCTGAATGGCCTGCCTCTGACCTCAGTTATTTCCTATTCTTCAGGTGGCATTGAAGGATCACTTCAGAAAAGATAATAGTGATTTTGACAAATTTCTAGACTGTTTACGGTCAAGTTTTTCAAGGTTTGAGATGAAAAATACAGAGACCTATGAGGTAAGAAATAAGCAAGATATTACTAAGAAAAACCACCACAAACCATGCCATTGGATGTTGGGATTGCTAAGTATTTCAAAGTTAACCCAAATTCCCATTTAGCCCCAAATGGTTTAGAAGAAGACCTGATGGTCTCAGTCCAGTTCCTAACAGACAAGTGTCAACATCACAAAAACCACTATTACGATTACAACTCTTGTTGTGATCTTAGCAGAGAAGCCAGGAAATGAATGGACATGGAAACGGGGGGCGGGAGTGGGTTGGACTACCTTAAAAGGTTCTCCCCCCTCCCCAGTCATGGCTGTAGCAATCTGGCTAGCTAAGCACTTATAAGGCCCCCATTACTGTAGTATCTGAAACCCTCATAATCTTTAATGCATTTATCCTCAGAACATCCCTATGAAGTAGAGACTTGCTATTATCCTTATTTTATTGGTGGAGAATGAAGGCCAAGAGAAACTAAACAACTTCCCTAAGGTCTCTCAGAAAGTCTGTGGCACAGCAGGGATTTGAATTTGGGTCTCCCATGTAGACAGCTAGTTCCCTAAACACTGGGCTATCCTCCCTTTCATTATGGGGGAAGTTTGCATTGCTGCTGCCTGTGCTATGCATGTCTTGTGGTTAAAAACAAGACTTCCAATTCCACGTCTGTAAACATGGCACCTTTCACCACCACTAATTTCAATTCAAAGATAGAAAAAGCATTGCAACATTCTGTTTGCTCTTTAGAACCTGTCACTGGACATTGTGTCACATGAATGCCATGTCGAGTAGCAGTGCTGGGGTAGAACACTAAGCCAGAACTGACTCTGTGTTGCCAAGTTTGTTTGGGGGCAGGGCTAGAGATTTCCTATGTGCTTTGACTGCAGCCTAAAACTGACCTGATTTAAATTGCTAATGAACTGTAGTTTTGTCCAGTGAACTGTCTTTTCTTAGTGATATTGAGGGCTAGATCTCCCTCACTCCCTTTAAGTACTTACATGGCCCTCATCACCCATAGTCTCTAAGCAGATTGTGCCCACCTTAGTACATCCATGTGTTAGACAAGCACTGCTAGACTCTTTAAAAGGGCTCAGAGGGGGAAGATTGGGGCCTGCTTCTGAGTGAAACCAAAGTGGCCAGTGTCTTTCTAGCCAGAATCTGGCCTTTACTCATAGCCACACTCAGCACAAAGAGGCTAATCTTTGTTTCTTTGTCTGGAACAGACCCTCATCCAGACTGTACATCACATCATTGTCACTGAGTATGTTCAGGCTCTCCTAACTGCTTCTGGGAAGTCATCTTCTGCAAAGCGGAGGAAAATTGCCAACAAAATTGAAGTGGATCACCGGGCAATTCGAACGCTCTTTGAAGAATGCTTCGTAAGTCTTTGATTTGGCTTTGCAGTGTTATGTTTACTCTTTCCACTACCGAGTACAAGAACCTGGACAATGAGTGGCACATTTCTGAATGGAACAGGAGCACTTAACAAACTGATACCCAGATCTCCATACATAAACATCAGTCATGCTTCAAGACATCATGTTGGCAGTTCAAATCTGCTATCAGTGGTGCAAAATATTGTTAGTTTGTAGCTTTGGAATGTAGGGGGACCCCAAGCTTTCTACTCTTTCCCCTGCAACAGGAAACAGCGAGAGACTCAAAATTGGGGGGTGTTAATTACACCAACTAGGCTTGTTGCACTTCACGGGGCAATTGCCTCAGTAGAGCAGGTGATGTTGTCCATGCGGCTCTACCATGCGGCTCTTGCCAGTTGGGCAATGCAGAGTCCTATAGAACCTACACTCTGCTCAAAGGTCTGCTGTAGTGTAGTTTCAGTGGGATACGGTATCCTTCTCACTTCCTGCCCTGACAGGTTGTTGCACACTTCTGTGTTCCACTACAGAAGTTACTGCATTTCAGTGGTGGGTAAAGGGATTGCTGTATCTCTTTTACTTATCTGAGGCTAGGTCTACACTACCCGCCTGAATCGGTGGGTAGAAATCGACCTCTCGGGGATCGATTTATCGCGTCCCATCGGGACGCGTCAGTTGATCCCCGAATCGACACTCTTACTCCACCAGCAAAGGTGGGATAAGCGCCGTCGACAGGAAGCCGCAGAGGTCGATTTTGCCACCGTCCCTACAGCGGGGTAAGTCGGCTGCGATACGTCGAATTCAGCTACGCTATTCGCGTAGCTGAATTTGCATATCTTAAATCGACCCCCCCCCCCTGTAGTGAAGCCGTAGCCTCAGAGGGATCAGGATTATCATGAAGGTTTGTAAAGCACATGTAGAGAGATGGGTGAAATGCACTGCAGAGGGCCTAGTAATGTATTATAATTAAAAATACTGTAATTCTTGGCTACCTGATACATTTTCCCAATCAAATTACTGGTGAGTACAAGATAAAGCAAAGCAGAGGCCAGGTGGATCCAGAACAGATGAATTCCCAAAGGAGGCTGGATGTTTTGTGTGAAATCAGAAGGAAGTGTATGCAAACAGCAGTCTGGGATGTGAAAAGAGGCTTTTGTAGTGTTGCCAGCACTTTTGATTTTATAGCAAATCTCTCAACATCTGGCATTTTCCATAATCCCTCAGCTACTGGAGTCATGTGATTACATCTCAGCTTTCATTTAAAAAAATTAAGTTACTAGTCTTATGGTTGGAGAGAAAAGCTGGAAAACACGAACCCAAAGGGCTCAGAAACCAAATGGCGCAAATAAAAAGACCCCAAATTAATTCTTTTAAAAGAATCTCTGAATTTTAAGCCGATCACATGATTTCTTGGGCCTGACTTATTATTTTTGAATGCTTGGGTTTGGCAATCCTGCTTTCTATTTCAGTGGGAGCTGCAGTAGGCTGGTTGTCAGTGATTCAAACTCTGTGTAAATAAACAAATAATTTTTTAGCCTCCCTTGGAAAAAGCTCGGACTCACTGCAATTAGCCCATTAGTCTCCGTATGGAAAAATGAAAACTGCCAGTACTTTTAAGGTCTATTGTATTAAGTAGGCCATTTAAAGAGACCTTAAAACTTTCAGGGACCACCAGAAATATGTTGTTTAAAAAAAAAAAAAAAATTCTCTAACAGATAGGTCTTAAACTTACCATTAATGCTGTGCTCAGCATTGTATAAGACATGGAAGAATAGCTGATCTCAGGGCCGGCTCTAGGATTTTTGCTGCCCCAAGCAAAAACAATTTTGGCCATCCCCCTCCCCCATTTTTTAATTACCCCACCCCCGGCCCCGCCTCAACTCCGCCCCTTCCCCAAATCCCCAGCCCTGCCTCCTCCCCCCAAGCTCTCAAGCCTAGGAAGGAGGGAGGGAGGGAGGGGGAGAAGCGGCGCCCGCGCCGCGGCCACTCGGAGTCTCCCCCACCCCTCCCAGGCTCTCAAGCCTGGGAGGGAGGGCAAGTAGCGGCGCGCGAATCAGCTGTTTCGCGCGCCGTGGCGCATGAGTGGCAGCAGCAGCGGAGGTGAGCAAGGGCGGCCGGGGCACATTTTTAGGGGCGGCATTCTGGCGCCGGCCATGCCGCCCCTAAAAATGTGCTGCCCCAAGCACCAGCTTGTCTTGCTGGTGCCTAGAACCGGCCCTGGCTGATCTTATCATCTAAATTAGGCAATACATAGGCAATCCAAAGTAATATGATTGTGTGTGTATATGTATATGTGTATATATACACACACACACACACACAATCTATAATATACACAGGTTGAAGAACAACTCTGCATGCAGTTGGTAAAATGCCACTCCCTTCACCCATGCTCTTTCCTCTCTCATTGCTCAGGGTATTAGCACTGAAAACCTTGCTAGAAGAAATATACTTAAAAATGTGGGTCTGATGTTCAGTCAAGTTAGGTGCACAATTGTGCATGCAAAATATATGCTCAACTGCACAGTTAATTTATGCATGCAGTTACTACCATGGTTGCACTTGCTTCCTGACCTAGCCTGCCATGTGCACATGCTTTCCCCTTTCAAGTCCCTTCTCAAAACACATTTTGAAACTCCTAGCCCTCTCCTCAAAGAAGTGTTTGCTAAATAATAATTATATATATTGTAAAAGAAAATCTAACAAGATTGTGTTAAGCATTACTGCTCAGTCACCTACACTTTGGTTATTTGAGTTGTAGTAGACCTTTTTAGATCAGGGATCTTATCGTTCTATCTCTCTGTATAGACCCTTTTGGCACTCTGTAATAAATAACATTTGATAATGATGAGCTTGACAAACCGGGAATATTGTACAGTTTGAGTATGTTAGGGAGCAAAATCTGGCAATAATTATAGTTTTCTTGGTATGCAGAGCTACACACAGTCTGTATTTCTGCAATGCAGAGGAAGAGAGAGAGGAGGGTTGAATCTAAATATTATCTTTTGAATTTATGTTCAATGCAGAGATGTGCTAGCTCCTGGAAAATCCAGTCTGATTCTCGATGCTAAGTAGATATCATGGGAATATGTTTTTGTCCTGAAGTAATTTGAACAGCACATTCCCTAGGTTTGCTTTGCCATAGAAGTTATGCTGATATTGTGGCATAAATAACTCAGAATAGCAATTTACTCGCATTTCCTTTCTACTCAAAATGTGAGCAAGATCTGAAGCTAACTCTGGGTAGTTCATCCCAATCCTCATTTATCAAATGTCATTAAAATGTAATATTTCTTTGTTTTCGTTTTATAGGGCTCAGTCCTGCAGGAGTGCACAGATCCGTGCAGAATCAAACCCTTTTTTCACTTGCTTTTTGTTCCAATTTCACCCCCCTCCCCGCCTCGCTCTTTCCGTGGGCTTGTTTAAAGTCAGCCATAACGCAGTTGCATGTATTGGCCAGTAGGGGTTGCTAATGCAGTTGTATGATTAGATTCTACTTTATTCTTACATCTGGGGGGGAAAATACCACACAACCCCTGCAATGCTCATAGCTTTTTCTGGTCCACAAGTAGGTGACCCAAGTCTGATCCTGAAGCCAGATCTTCACATTGCACTCTGCTTCCTCTGCCACTCCAGTTGAATGCATATGTTCTTATATCCCTAGGGCCCTAGAACTGCTTCACTGGATGACCCTATTGAAAGTATCCTAGATTTTATTCTACTTACTGACATCGAAGCAATGAAAATACAGCTTGTGCTTCTTCTCCTCAAGTTTCCAGATATAAGGTAAGGCATTGCATGGATTATAGTTATTCAGGCTGCTTAGCTGATTATTTACAACCATAAATCCTGTAACAATATTTGTTATCCAATACACTACCTGTGCACCTTCTTGGCTGTGCTTTGGGATTATTATAGTCAGAGCTGGTACAAACATCTATAATGAAGGCTGCCTGACACCTCCATTATTAGATCCTGGTTTTGGCTGATTATAAGTATCAAATGTTGACCATTTGGGTTGAAATTTCCCATTCTGTGCACTGAAGGAGGGGTCCAGGGGAAAAAAGTTGTATGTGATCATGTAATTAAAGACTACATCATAATGCACATGCACAGGGGAGCCAAATTAGCGTTGTACGAACAACCTTAATTCAGGCAGTTCTGAACTTTTGAATGTTTAACTTGGCAACCTTAACATTCTTTTAACGTAGTTCTTTTGTGTGTCATTAATTATACATTATCCAGCGTGCATTCAGCACTTACATTTCACACAGGAAACTGACAGTCGGAACTAATATTGACTTTTAGTTCCTAAAACAAAATGGTAGCTAATCTCAGTTTGTCAAACTGTTCTGTTTTTTTCCCTTCAGTTCCTTCCATCATTTTTCTGATGTCCTGTTTTAGTAACTGTATTTTTTCAAGTTAACTTATATGCACAGACAATACTTGGAAAAATACCCATTCTGATCATAGTCTCTTAGGGCCAAAGTTAGAGCTGGTTCAATGTCATTGACTTCAATGGCATCACACCTGCTTACATCACATCTGACTTGGGTTCTTACTGCCCGCATCATTAAATAGGGTGATAAGTGACAGTCCCATTCAGCCAAGCAACTACCACACAAGGGAAAAAACCATCTTCCAGGTGACCAAGAGGTCACCATCTCTTTGCAGAAAGGGTAAAAAAAATGCTCTTAAAAATAAAATGTGGAGTCACCATAAAAACCAACCTGCCAAATAATCAAACAGTCCTGCTCTGCTCTTAGTAGAGAACTGGGTTAGGAACAGCTTTGGCTAGGTGAGATCATAATTTTAAATACAGGTATAACATTCTGGGTGGCCATAGGTGTTAGAAACCCGTTTATCAGCAGTTGGAGTTCAACAGTTTCCAAGACTCTGCTCTTGGCCCTGTGTAATTGGGTCTTATCAAGCAGACATATTTGTCTCCTCTGTTTTACTGATCTGATTCCTGGTACTTTTGGAAAGGAAAGAACATCTGAATATAATCTTGGACATCAAAGGATCTCTCAATGGGACAGACAGAAATGCCATGTTGGAGGTGGTTTATGATAATTGTGTGGGATTTGAAAGAGGACACAATTCATTTTTTGAAGCGATAGAAATAAAGCCTGGAAAATATGGCGTCTGTGGCTGCTGCTGCTGCTGCTATTAGGAAAGGTGAGTGTGTGTGAATACATATGCATATAGGTGTGTGTAATTAGATTTATAGCTAGATAATGTAATAGTTGCTGTGACTGTAATGCCACTTTTTTAGATTTCTAATACAAATCTGCATTAATAACTCTTATATAGCATTTTCCACCTGTAGATCTCTGAGTGTCTTTAAGTATCATTTTGCAGATGGAGCAGCTGCAGTACAGAGTGCTTAAGTGACTTGACCAAGTTACAGCAGGTCATTGGAAGAGCTGGGAATAGAACCCAGAACTCTTGGCTCCTAGTCTAATTTTCTTTTCCTGTTTAGAGACAGCAGAGTGAATCACAGAGCACAGGGCCTGGTCAGACAGTCCAACCAGCCCTGCTTAGGAGTGACAATCCCTATCCTTTTTAAACAAATACTTAATGTTTTTCCATTTTGTCCCTCCATAAATCTCCCCTAGTCCAATGCATTTCAACAGAGTTCATAGATTCATAGATTTTAAGGCCATTAGGAACCTTTATGGTCATCTAGTCTGACTTCCTCCTTAACACTGTCCAGAGAATTTCACCGTGACTCCTGCATTCAAGCCCATAACTTCTGGGAGAACTAGCACATATCTTCTAAAAAGATATCCAGTCTTGATTTAAAGACTTCAAGTGATGGCCAATGCCTACTCATTCCAGTGGTTAATTACCCTCGCTTTGAATAATTTACATCTTATTTCTAGTCTGAATTTGTCTAGCTTCAGCTTCACACCCTAGGATATTGTTAAATCTTTGGCTGCTGATTAGAGCCCTCTCCCCATGTAGGTTTATCTCCTCGCTCTGTACTGAGAGTGCATTCACACACTGTTTTATTTCAGTTTCACAAACATTTCCTTTCTCACACTCAGGTCTAATATGGAAAGTCAGAAGCCACCCTCCTTGCCTGTGTCACAAAGACTCCATCATCAGCAGGCAACATCTGAGATCACAGCTACTTGAAAGTTACGAGGAATGGCAAACAGTATTTGTCTGCTGAAAACAGCCTGTAGGCCATGCGAGAACATGTGCCAGAGTGTTCAAGACAAGAAGATCACATAAACCCAAACTGTGGTTCCCTGCACAAAGTCCAACTGAAAGGGGGAATGCACATGGTTAGTGGGGTAGAATCCTCCCTGAAACCTGCAGCTAGATTCTTGCTTAGCTGGGCTATGGCTGCTAGGGAGAGAAGCACTGGACAGAGCCACATCTTGCTTCGGTCGGGGATTGGGTCAGTAAGCCCCTGCCATTTCCCCACTCCTCCCACAATGCTCCTTTCCACAGTCCTGCACAGAGAGCCACTATGTAGCATGTTCTGCGGCATGCAGAGGGCTGCGGAACCCTTCTGGTGCATGGTTACCACCTAGCATCCTGCTCAGCCGGAAGGTGGCATTTCCACAGCATTTGGGGCCTTGTGCGCCCACGGAGGGGAAGCAGGATGTGGCACTTAGCTTTTGTGTCCCATTCAGCTGCTTAAATGGAAAGTCATACTAATAGCACAGAACTTACCTCAATCCCTAGTAGCCCATTGCAATGGATTGTGGATATAGTGTAATTAGTATCTTCGTTTTATAACTGGCTTCAGAGCTGAGTTTGTCTTTTCATCCATATAACTCAGTTTACTGAAAATTTCCCCTGCTGTAAAGCTCTAATTTCTTTAACGTGGGAATTTTTGCTGTGGAAATCTCATGTGCAGTGGACAGTTAAAATAGCTGTTTCCGCTAATCCTCTGGGTCGGTGTAAACTGCTTTCAGATGTGAATAGACAAGAAGTACAGTATGGGAAAATAATAGGCCTTCTTTTTGCCCATGTATAGGCTGGTCATAATTTCAGAGCTGGATTTGGTTCAAGGCCTCATTTGCTATTGTGTTAATATAGGTCACTGCCATTCTGGTGCTCTCTGACAAGTGTAAACAAATTAGCCGTGCAGAAAAGAACTGCTGTATCAGACACTCTTCAACTCTCGTAGGCAGCCATTCTGCATCAGTGACAGCTTCCTCAAACATGGCCTTTCACCCCTGTTTTGCTGGCAGTTCAATGTGCTCATGATTAATTAGGAACGGAATTGGTTTTTGTGTGTATGAAAAACTTGTAATCAAGCTGCTCTGTGAGATGTTTGGGGGAAAGTCCCCTAAATCCAAATGAAATTTTAAAAGGTGTCACACTACAAAACTATAAACTCTCATCTGTGCTCTTTGCTGAGTCTGAAAGCTCATGTCTTTAATAAACTAGCTTTAAAGGCCAGATTCTGCTGTCCTTACTCCTGGTGAATGGTACCTCACTCTACACGTAGTCCCAAATAGACCTGTTCCAAGTAAGGTGACACACAGTAGGCAAATATGTGGGTTTTAAAAAACAAGTCAAACAACTTTAGAATTATCATGTAATCTGCCTTAAGTGACCTTTCAAGGACCAACAAACACCAGCTGAGTTACAGAGGTTGTTCATTAACCACAGGTGGCACAACACCATATCAAAAAGTTGCTCTCCCTTGTTTGCCATCTCAGCTTGAACTCTTAATCCACTTTTCCCTGTACAGCTCTGCCCTGGCCTATGCCTTGGATCTGATCTGTTAACATGGCCATGTCCTTTCCATGTCAATCGGCCAATGTGAATTTCGTGAATTTGTGTCGGTTTTGCCAAATTGGTGAGAAAAACAAACAAAATCCCTTAAAAAGGACTCAGAGAAAATCAAAATGTTTCCTTTCAAAAAAGATGAAACATTTTGATTTTTCAGCTCAAAATGACTGTTTTGAAAATGTGTAAAATAGTCAGACGTGGTCAGCAGTGAAACGAACGTTTTGTTTGACCTGACACTATATTTTTTCCCAACTTTTTGTTTTGCCAAAAATTTTGAACAGTTTCAGTTCAACCCAAGCAGTTTGGTGTTTTTAATTTTCCAGAATGGCCAACGAACCAGAAAATCCATTATTCGCACAGCTCCACTCACAGCCTTCTGAGTTTATTTCTCCAGGCCCATCTTCCGCCTTCCTCCACAGTCAATACAAAGGCAGCTGGCCCTTCCTTTCCCTTTTTAACCTTCTCCTAAGACCTGTTCTTCTCTGAGGCCTGTAAAGACCAAATACCTTCTGCAGCCCAACATTAAATAATTGGATGAAGAAAAAAAAAGCCTTATATTTTTTGGGCATTGCCAGCAGATCGAGGAATGTGATCGTTCCCCTTTATTCGACATTGATGAGGCCTCATCTGGAGTATTGTGTCCAGTTTTGGGCCCCACACTACAAGAAGGATGTGGAAAAATTGGAAAGAGTCCAGCGGAGGGCAACAAAAATGATTAGGGGTCTGGAGCACATGACTTATGAGGAGAGGCTGAGGGAACTGGGATTGTTTAGTCTCCAGAAGAGAAGAATGAGGGGGGATTTGATAGCTGCTTTCAACTACCTGAGGGGGGGTTCCAAAGAGGATGGAACTCGGCTGTTCTCAGTGGTGGCAGATGACAGAACAAGGAGCAATGGTCTCAAGTTGCAGTGGGGGAGGTCTAGGTTGAATATTAGGAAACACTATTTCACTAGGAGGGTGGTGAAGCACTGGAATGCGTTACCTAGGGAGGTGGTGGAGTCTCCTTCCTTGGAGGTTTTTAAGGCCCGGCTTGACAAAGCCCTGGCTGGGATGATTTAGTTGGGAATTGGTCCTGCTTTGAGCAGGGGGTTGGACTAGATGACCTCCTGAGGTCCCTTCCAACCCTGATATTCTATGATCTTTCTTTGGGGATTGCAAACAGGTGTCAAGGGCTCACAACCACCCTGTCCTTCCCATACTGCTAATTGTCAAGGGTAGATGGGAGGGGAGCTTTGGTGGAGGTAATTGGTCCTGATCTATGTCTGTGTTCTAGGACCCAATCATGCAAATACCTACTACTGGGGTGAGTAGTAAGCACTACTTTGGGTTGTAAGGTTTTGCAGAATGGTGCCTTTACTTTGTGAGCCTCACAGGGACAGGAAATGGGGGAGTATTAATATTATTTTTGTCTTATACAATACTGAGCACATCTTCAATTCGCACTGACCAAATGATTTAATCCCCAATAGACTCTTTATTGCTTTTAGTGAATTGTGAGAACTTCAAAATCGTAAAAGTCAATTTCAGATATTAAAAGATGAGGAAGAGCGTTCTAACAAAAGTCAATCATTTGGCTACTCTTCCAAGACAGCTGACTCCCTGTTCTGCTTGAAAACAGAGTTTCTAAAGCTTCAGCTGGTCCAGGTATTAGATAAATGTGCAATTTTTAGTCCAGCTAAACATTTAATTGGCTTATAAACCACTCAGTAAAGCAATTAAAAAAAATTCACTGCCACTTTGCACAGGTTGGAAGACAACACGGTCTGCATGTTGCACCGAGCTCATCCAGCCTCAAACTTCTTGCCACACAAAGAAATATGGACATCTGTCAAAATATACAGGGCTGGGCTCTGAATTGTGCTGGGTATATCAAGCCAGTCACAGTAGTCATCCTTCTGTGCTATGATTTATGCATTTATTTCCAGGGGCGGGGAATACATTATATCTACAATTTCTTGGAGATAGGGTTATAGTGAGCCCATGTTTATTGATATTTAAATCAACAAGCATTACAGAGAAAATAAACAAAAACACACAAAACCCCTTGGACATCCTGATCATAGTTGATCTAAAAATACATTCCACAGCACTGGAAAGATTTCTTCCAAATAAATATTGATAATTAGTTGCTTCTACTCTATCAGATAGTCACATTCAGAGAAGGGTTTTATGATTATTTAATAAATAAATGTAAATTGGAAACTGGCGTGTATTTGGAACACAGTGTTATGTAAGTAAGTCCTGTCTGTGTCTGTATATACAATGTGTTCTGTAATATATATCTGTATGTGAAAGATTTATTTTAAATAATATTTCTTCATTGTAATTGTCTCTTCTTATTTTGCAATGGAGCCATAAAATATTCAAATACAACTTAAATGAAGAAAAATGCACTCTTAGACTTATTCGCCTCATATTGGACTGCAGAGTTTGGAGGTGAATATGCCCTGATCTGATAAAGATCTCAATCCTATGGACTTTCTAGACATAATCCTGTGACATATTTAAACCCATCTGTGCTGTGCTTCCAGGAGGATAGGGGACAAGGGTGTCTTTAACTGCCCTGTTTTAACCTTATTTCTGGACTGTGTAGAGGCCAGTGCAAGCACCAAAGGACACTCCACCAGAGAAGTAGATCACATCATGGAACGGGCCACACAAATAACCCGCGAAAACCTACTTCAATAGAAATATAACCCCCTACCCCCGACCATACTCCCCTAATTGTCACCTACCACCCCACAATGGAACCTTACAGGGTATCATCGAAAAATTACAACCCATACTTGATGGGGACCCTATCCTGAAATAAATCTTTCCTGAACCCCCTCTTCTGGCCTTCAAACAACCCCCCCAACTTCTCCAAGCTCATCATCAGAAGCAAACTCCCCACACACCAGGGCACACCAACTCAAAGCGGCACCAGACCCTGCCACAATAACAAATGCAAAACCTGCAGACATATCTCTGTTTCTACAATAATCAACACTCCCCACAACGCACCTTTCAAGATCCCTGGGTCCTATACATGCCTATCACAAGATGTGGTGTACCTCATCCAGTGCGCTAAATGCCCCAATAGCAACTAAGTGGCTGAAATGAGATACTCACTACTTGCTCAGATGAACTCGCACAGAAAAATGATAAAAAACAAAAACACCCTATCATCTGTGGGTGAAAACTATTCACAAAGTGATCACTCTGTATCTGACCTCCCAGTCCTCATCCTCAAAGGAAACCTAGATTTCTGGCTTATTACAATTTACAATCCACTAAACAACCCCCTTCAGCTGCCCTTTCCCTCCTCCCTTCCTATGACTGGAGAGGTATTAACAGGTCACTTCACCTTGAATGGCCCCTTGCAATATGTATTAACTGACTGTGCTAAACAATATGTTCCCTCTTGTGCTTAGCTGTGACACTCTGAGTTAGTTTCCCAGATCTGAAGAAGGTCCAATAAAAAGATATTTCCTCCCCCATCTTGTCTTGCTGATAAACTTTAAAGCAGCCAGGACCTCCTGTACCTTAGAGCTAAATTAGAGCAGCTCGGAGCTGTCAGTGAACTGCCAGTGGGCTCTCCATGGTCTATAGCAGCACAGAATCTCTGTAGCTCTGAGCACTCCAGACTCCCCCGACAATGAACCGCCTCCACTCCCCTGATACACTGGCTGTGGGGCTTATGATGCTTGCATGGCATATAGGGGCTGCAGTGGATGAGGAATTCCTCCCCTCAATTCGCACCAGTCAATGGGAACAGAAGATGTTCAGCCCCTCCCTGCATTGAGCACAGAGGTTCTGCTCCCATTAAAGTCACCTCATGAGACCACTGGCACCAGGACTTTAAAAGGGAGGGAGATAACATTGGTTCCTAGGATTTAAACAGGTTTAAATATCTCAGCTTTTCTGAGAGATCCTTTCTTCCCATTTCCTCTTGTGACTTGCATGGAATAGAATCATTGATTGCTAGAAGACGATGCCTCGTCTGTGTTCCATGGCTGCTGTTTGGCTGGAGCCCCTCACGTTCTGCTGTGACAGACTTTTTGGAACCATCTCGGTAATTCGTGGTTCTGGAACTAGAGCACAGCATTGGGACTGGAGTTTTTTGGTGAGGGGTGTGTGTGGGAAATTTTTTTTACAGTAAACCAGTGTTGTGTTTGCCAAAGCAATTGCAGGGACTAAGAATAACAGCTTCCTGCGCTGCTTGTGTGACAAAGAAACCCTGGCAGGAGGCCCTAAAAGAGGGGAATCTGTGCCCCCGGTGTACCATGGAACACTACCACAACATCTTTCTATGGCAGCAGGGAGGGGCTCTGGGACAGGGGACAGGCTGGGGATGGGAAAGGGCACTGGCAGTGAACTGTGCTGATCAACTGGTTCCCCTCCCAGTGAACATGGTGTACATTGTAGACACAGCCCAGCTGTGCATTTTCTCTGTTCGCTACTTAAAGGGCTAGAGGGCCTCAAACTCTTGTAGGTCAC